TATATAAAAAACTTAATATAAAAAATAAAAAAAAACTAGATAACATTAAACTTTAATTTTGCCGAAACTACTTAACATTAAATAAAAACAAGATTTACTTAAAAACATTACATTAAACATAAAGAAATATTAAAAACATTACAATTAATTAAAATCTAACGAATGTCTTATCCCCTACGGCTCAAAATGTAACATTGCGGGCTCGATATGTAATCCTGTGGGCTTGGTATATGAACCGACGGTGGTGACATCTGAACTTGCAGCGGTGGCATCTGAATCGATGGTGTAGCTATATAAATTGGCGGGATTGAGGTGTAACCCGGAGTGCTCATAATCTGTGATGATGGTGGATGTTTTGATGGTTCTGGTGGTGCTAATGAGGATGATTCGAAAGTGTTTGCTCTTCATCTATGATTCGGGGGATGATGATATTGTGACGGTGGATGTTTTCTTGGTGATAATGAATTATCCCCCTTATGCTTCCTCAAAAAGTATGAACGACTTCTTTCCGTTGAACCACTCAATATAGTCGTCCAAAACCGAAGAACTAGTTTCATACATATACTACCCAGGGGACATGCGTTGATATTGATTCTCCCACATCACTATCCAGTCTCTATGCTTCACCACCCAATTAACCTCTTTTTTGCCCCGTCTATCAATGTTATGCATATTGTCGAGATTCATAGGTTCTCTTGGAATATATCGTGTGAGACCAAACTGACGAAGCACATGATCAATCATATGCCACTTAACAATAGCATAACATATAAGAGGCATAACCGCTAGCTATACATCTAATTGTCCACTCAAGTGAGGTGATATGCAAGCCCTTATTTCATCGGTCGAATATGACAACCATTGTAACTAGAAAATATATATATATATATATATTTATTATCAAAGTAATATTCTAATTATATATATATAATTAAATAAAAATTTTAAAATTTAAAAGTGTACCTCTAAACCAGCATTTTGATCAATGAGTAATAAAAAAATTTCTAATTCATCATGGATATCATGATGATTTTTTTTCTTGTTGATGATCATCTATTTAATATAAAAATATATTTCAATATATAGTCAAAAAATATTTATAAATAAATTTAGTATTAAAATTACCTTAATAATAACATAAAGATAAATGTCTCTTTCACGATCGAACATAAAAAAGACATGTGATACCACACCTAAGATTAGAGAAAAAGGAGACAGCCTCCTGTAATAGTTTTACTATAATTCATTGCCTGACACATTTCTCTAAACAGAAACCTAAAAACTGTAGAGCCCCAACTCAACGTGTTGGTTACTTCAAAATCAATGCGGTGACGCAAACACATACAATGAACTTGGTTGTGAGATTTTTCAGGCATCAAGATCCCTCCTATGATTCGTAATATATATCTTCGAGTAAATGCTTTTGCCTCATCCTCGGAACAATTTTCGTTCAACTCTTAAAAAGTGGATTTCAATCATGATAACAATATTTTGGCCACCGTTGAAGTCCTTGAGGAAGTCCAAGATACTGCATGCACAAATAATGTCAATCAACATTCGCCACAACACAAATAATAATTCCATCTACCAGAAGTCCCAAATGTATTGAAACATCAGGGTAATGATGCACTCCCCACATGAAAGATGAAAAGTGTGTCTCTGGTCTTTACCTCTCGATTAGTGTGGGAACCACAGGCGAGAGGGAAGGCACGCCTCCTCCAACGTGCCTCCCAACTGGCCCGAAAATCCCACGAAAGTGCATCCCCTGAAACACGCCTTCAACTATGGTGCCAACTCAGCTGGAAAACGCACCCTCTCCACGCGCCTTATTGCCACCTCAACAAGGCACGTCTCACACAATGTGCCTCCCCTTATTTTGTCAAAAAGGATGCTAGTTTGGTACATATTTGAGAAAGTTTGTTGAATCGTTGTTTTTTATTATTTTAGATGATTTTTGGAGAAAAAAATACCAAGGATGGAGACGTTGAAAAAACCAAATATATTTATTTTTATATTTATTTTTTATCATTATTTTTGAACTTAACAATTTTATGTTTATATTATACAAATTGTGATTTGCGAATTTTACGATGGAGTTAATGAATTTTGGTGATTGATATTAGGGATCGTAACTAGAAATTGAAATCTTTTACTTTGATTCGATTGAGATTTAAGAAGGTTTTCATCAATTTAAAATTTAATTTAATATTTTAAATAAAAAATCATATTCGATGTTATCTGACTTAAATATAATATATATATAATTTTTATTAGATAAAATTAGAACCTAAATTAGACCCCATCGATTTATAATTCGATTTAAAATTTTATTATTTATTAATAAATTATATATTATATAAAGGGATCAAATTGATAGAATTTTAAAATATTAAGTATTTGTTAAATTATTTTGGACTAAAATTAGATTAAAATTATTATTATTATTATATATTATATTATATTTATAAAAATTAATTATTAAATTTAACAAGTGATCAAGACAGAAATAAAATTTAATGTTATGTGTAATTTGAAAAATATAATTAGATAGCTAAAATAAAAGCACTAAAATAGGTGAATGGTCATAGATAGTTTATTTTAAAATTTAATATATATAAAACTAAAATATTTAAAAATAAATTGGAGGCAGAGATATTATTTAAGGAGATTGTTTTTCAAAAATCACCTTTTTTTTATATATTTACATGTAAGACACCCTTTCAAATATATTTTTCGATCTAATACTCTTTATAGAAAGGTGCGGCCCATGCACCCGCCTTACGCTGATGTGGCGTCCGTGGGGTAAGACGCGGCCCATGAACCGCGCCTTACGTTACGTGTAAAGATCAGATGCTAATTTTGTAATTTGTTTAAAAATGATGCTTAATATGTAATTAATTTTTTTAGGGTGATGTTTTTGTAAAAACGTCAACTTTTTTAACTTTTTTTTGCGAAAATAAAGCATTAAAATTTTTAAATCTTTTTTTGTAAATTATTTTATAACTCGACAAATTTTGAGTTTTGCAAGAAATTACACAATATGTATAATCTAGTATAGTAAAACTTTGAGAGTAACTAATTTAAAATATGAATAATTTTATAAAAGTTTTATAACTAGTATTTCTTTTATAAAATGATGTTGATAATAAGAAATATTTTATAATTTAAAAAATTATAATTTCTTTTATAATTTAAAAAGTATAAATTTCATATATTTTTAAAAAAATTATTCACTTTTAAAATTAATTGTTTAAAAATATAAAAAAATATTAAAATAAACTTTTAATTACAATTGAGAGATCAAATGAATTATTATTCATTAATTATTATTTTTTAACAACAGTTAATAATGTTTATTTATTTTTAATAAAATTAGAATTTAATATTAATTTAATATTTTTTAAAATTAATATTAGAAAGAATATTTTAAATATATAGGTGATATTTTTTATCTTTACATTCTTTTTTTATTGAATTTTATTCACTTTTAATTCTATTTTAATGTTTTTTATTGAATTTTAAATATATGAGTTATAATTCAAATTAATAATTTAATCTGCTATTATTCAAATTAATTAAGAAAAATTATGGTAAAATGTTTCTAAAAGAAAATTATAAATATATACATGAAAATCTAATGATTTTCCTTTCTTTTATGTTACTCTCTAAACTTGTAACAAAATTCAATAAAAAAAGAATGTAAAGCTAAAAACATCACCTATATATTTAAAATATTCTTTCTAATATTAATTTTAATAAATATTAAATTATAATTTTATTAAAAATAAATAAACATTATTAACTATTGTTAAAAAATAATAATTAATGAATAATAATTCATTTTGATCACTCAATTGTTATTAAAAGTTTATTTTAATATTTTATTATATTTTTAAACAATTATTTTAAAAGTTAATAAATTTTTCAAAAATATATGAAATTTATAATTTTTTAAATTATAAAATATTTATTATCATCATCATCATTTTGTAAAAGAAATACTAGTTATAAAACTTTTATAAAATTATTCATATTTTAAATTACTTATCCTCATAGTTTTCCTATATTAAATTATACGTATTGTGTAATTTCATGTAAAAATCAAAATTTATCGATTTATAAAATAATTTACAAAATAATATTTAAATATTTTAATGCATAAATTTTTTTTCACACACAAAAAAATAAATAAAAATTAATTTTTTATATAAAAATCACCCTAACAAAAATTAATTACAAATTAAAAATTATTTTAAAAAATTTACGAAATTAACACTTAATCCTTTACCTGTCACGTAAGGCGCAGCAACTCCAATCATATAAAATGAGTTCAATGTTCAATTATGAAATCATTGAAAAAAGAGGATGAATCGAAATATAACCTTTACATCAAAATTGGGCACAAAGAACCAATCAGATTGATCTAGTGGATAAATTAGAAATACAGAAACAAAAACAGCAATTGGATTCAACACGTTGTATAAGACGCAATGCATAAATTGCGTCTTTTTATAAATGATGTTAAATCTATAAATATATCTAAAAAGGTGTCTGACAGATAAATATATAACGAAAAGATAATTTTTGAAAAAATCACCATTATTTAAATCCCCATTGTTTCCCGACAGTTCCTCGTTCAATAATTTACTTTACACTTTTGATTAACGTTTTATCATTTTTCCTTGTTCTTTGTAGTTATCTGCTGTCACTCATACCTCTAATCTCTCTTTCTTCACTCTTCTTTCAGCTTTCTTCTCTTTTTACCTTTCTTTCTGGCGGATAAACCGCGTTTTTTTTTCGCAGATCCAGCGGGAAAAAAAACAAACTTCTGGTAAAATCTTTTTCTCTTTTTCTTTCTTGCTAACTATAAAGTGTAGAACTAGTACATATGTTCATGTTCTCATCAGTTTTGCTTTATTATTCAAATAATAGAATTTTTGTGGTACAGTGTTATTTCATTTTCTTTAGTGATGTTAATCACGATAACATGACGGTACTTACTTTTCTCTGATCTATTTTTTTCTAACTATGAGTGACCTTTTCTGGCTTGTTGGGTAAAAGTCTTTCTTCTTTCGTTAATTTTCTTTTGTTTTTGTTCTTTTTTGTTGCATAATTGGATCTTTTAGCTGTTTCTTGATCTGGGTATGGTTATTTTCTCCTAGCTATTTGATCAATGTGCTTGGAATAGAAGATTTGAAAAGGTGTTCGGATTTGGGTTTCTAGATGTTTGAAAAGATTATATAGGCTTCTGATGCTCAGGTAAAGTAACTATTCTTCATTTTCAATCATCTTTTTGCTTAAAGCTCACCTCTTTTACTAGAAAACCAGATTATTTATTGTCATTGTTCCAGTTTTTTCTAGTTGGCATTTGCCTTTGTGTTAATAATTTAGGCTCCATTTTCATTGGCTTCTGATGAACTACAAGATTATAAAGCTTGTCTATCTATCTTTTTAACATGTTATGATTTTCAATTCTTGTTTATATAACGTTTTTTCTTTTGCCTCACTTTTTACAGATGGAAGGAGATGGTGAGTTCAGGCGCTGGGATGAATTGCTTCCGGATGCACTTGGGTTGATTTTCAGGAATCTTCCACTCCAGGAGATACTTACTGTGATCCCAAGAGTGTGCAAACCATGGGGGAGAGCAGTTAGTGGACCTTATTGCTGGCAGGTCATCGACATCGAAAAATGGAGCCAACGATGTCAGCCGGAGACCCTTGATCGCATGCTTCAAATGCTGATAACTAGGAGCTCGGGTTCACTACGGAAGCTCTGTGTTACTGGTATCTCTAATGACCAGAGCTTTTCGTTCATTGCTGATAAGTAAGGACATAACTCGTTGCTATCTATGGCTCTCAATTGCATTTTCTTTTCATATCCCTACATCTTCACTCTCTTTATAGGTTGCTAAAACTAATACTAAAGTGAAGATTAATGAATTAAGTTTATTGTGCTTTTTCATTTCCTCTGAATTTTCTGAAGTTCTGTATTCTGAATATTTACTAATAGAGTAGGGAACAATAGCCAACATCGTGGTAAAGAATCTGAAGTGCATCCTATGATCAATGAATGATGTGTGACTTCCTTGGATATTGTAAATGTGGGATATAGCTTTTGTTATTTACTCTTGCTTCCCATTGCTTCTAGTGCCAAATCTCTTCAGAATTTACGGCTGCCAAGAAGCGAAATAAGTGATTCAGTAGTGGAACAGGTTGCTGGGAGGCTGTCCTCAGTGACTTTCTTGGATGTTAGTTACTGCAGGAATATCGGATCCCTGGCCCTCGAAGCAATAGGCAAGCACTGTAAGTTACTAATGGGGTTGAGGAGAACAATGCACCCATTAGAGGTAGTAGATAAACTGTCTCAAGATGATGAAGCTCTTGCCATTGCTACTACAATGCCGAAGCTCAAGCAACTTGAGGTGGCATACTTGCTTATTAGTACAGAAGGTGTGCTCAAAATACTTGAAAGCTGCCCTGACCTTGAGTTACTAGACGTTCGAGGATGCTGGAATGTGAAGCTAGATGAAAGTTTTGTCAAGAAATTCTCACGGCTGAAGGTGGTCGGACCTCTCGTTGTGGACTATTTTGGGATGAAGGGATGGGATGATTGTTCGAATTATTCAGGTTCCTCTGGTTACTTGGCCTGGGACTTTGTTGCCGGAGATGTCGGCGTTGATGATGAGATATCATATGGGGATTGGGAAGATGACCAAAGTGTGGAAGATGTGGAAATGAGGTTCTATGATGGTTTTGACTCTGAAAATGCTGCATTCGATTGGCCCCTCTCCCCCTAAAGGACTGTTATTCGTCTCTTCTCGAAATTAGGTTGACAGAGCTCCACACTGACGTCAACCTCGACTTCTGTGAGCACTTTGCTGACACTTTGCTATGTACAAACATTGTGTTTCTATTTTCTAATGTAGTGTATAAACAAGTTTTCCTAGGAGTGTTTGTAATAAAAGAACTTGTAACCTGTAGCAAAAGAATTTGTTTCCTTAGTAAATTGAGGTCTATATCTGATTGCATTTCCATGCTTCAGTAACGTCCCTACAATGATTACACAATTTTGAAAGGAATTTGTAAAGATGGTCCAAATTAGTGTGTATGGTGACTTCCATGGAGTATCAAAGAACTTGATCAGACTGCAACAGAAAGGAGATTTTCCCTTCATCCTTTTGACTTCATGTTGATCCTTACGTTTATAAACAATCAAGTATTTTCAAAATGTCAAATGAGGATTGAAGAAAAGCACCACGCCTTGCCTTTAAAGCCCTTTTTCCCAATGCTTCGTCATTCAGCCAAAGCCTTTATCTGCATTGTTGGTGAGTTAAAGAAGAAAGTAGTTCCATCATAATTGCATTATAATCCATTGTTATTCAAAAGGCCGCCAGCAAGGTGTACCAAAACAAAACTATTTTTTAATATTTTATTATAACATTAGAGAAAATACAACAAATACCGGGAATATCTCGTAAAAGAAGAATTACAGATACAAGTTAAGCACAAAAAAGCCATGTCTTTCATATTGGCATGTTTCTATGCTCAACTGAAAATAAGCAAGTGTACCATTTTATTATGTTACTAAACATTTCTAGCTCTTCATCCATCATCATTTGCAGCAGGTCTGCAAGGATCAATCTGTCAACAGGCAAGAAGGATTCGAGAAAACAAAAGAGGTTTATGCCCAAGCAGCTAAGGTGAGTTCTATGGCAGTTGATGAGCCCTTGTATGCTGACAAACTGACATTACACTGTTGCACTTACACCAATTACATCAGCCGATTTGAATTCTTACGATTTATCATTGCTAGATCCCCTGGTTGTACGTTGACTCTGATGGACTTCCATTTGTTTTGTCTCCTCAGTTGATTTACATGCTTCAACTGTATCTTTCCGATGACTGGGTCCCCGCTTGTCTTCAAACAACTTCCCTGACTTTGCAATTGCAAGGATCAACTCGAGTTGTTTTTGCTGTTGCTCCTATAGAATACAACACCAATCATATGTGGTGAATCCAATGACAAACCGTGTTTTGAATTAGTAATTATTCACATGTTGAGAATCCAACAGCCACAAGCTGGAGTTTTCCTACTTATGATTAGTTCCTCTGAATACAAGTTCTCCATTGGTACAATGAAAGGAGTAAGGAACAGAACAACTAGGATGCAATTTAGTTTTCTTGTGTTTGAATCACGGCTCATTTACTTTTTATTGGTTTTAGTAAGGCTTAAGGCTTGCTAAATCCAAGCCACACAATCTTTTAAGCATTCAAAACCACAATAATAGACAGAAAAAAGCTTGACATACTTACTCTTTTAAAACTCTTATGCAACTAATATCATAACCATATTTAACTTACTTGAAGTGCCATTATGGAACTCCTATACCAACCGAGCATATTACCAACAAGTTCAGAAAATTAAAAAAATAATGATAATAATCAAACTATGGTAAAATATTACCTGCATTGCCAGCAAAACTTTCTGAATTTCCTTAAGCTCCTTTTCCAGGATGTCTTCTTGAGCTGCTAATGCTCTAGTAGCCTCAGAATTCTTTTGAGCCAAGGCTGCAGTCTTTAGACACGAGGAAGTTATAACCATAAGAACAAATCACAAAATACAATTTGTTATCAACAGCTTGCCTTCCCATTTACTCATGGTAGGCAGCAAGGGTGATAAGATCTTCATTAGTATCACATTAGAGCCACAACTAACATTCAGTTTATTCATCTATATCAAGTGAAGTGTTAGGTGCTCCATCAAATAGGCAAAAGATGGCAGTGGCACAATCAAATAGAACTTGTGTAATTGAAGCAACTATGTTCATCCATATCACAAATTCCAATGAATATGCCTTTTTTTTAATATTCTAACAATAGTCACCTTAACTTTGTTTAATTGAGAACTTACGTTAATTGAGCACCCTTTTTCATATATGAGTTAGAATGAGATGTTTAACTTTTCAAATAACCAGAGCTGAGAGCGCTCTAGGCATATTTTAACATTGGAAAGTTACTTCATAACATGTTTCCATAGCTTCATCCTTCTTCTTTCTTCATCTTCCCATCTATATTTCCATGATAACATTGGATAGTTCTTTGTCTCCATTTATTCTCTAATTAAAAACTTAAACGTTTAGCAGCAAGAATTAGTCAAATCCAGTTCTCTAACTAAAAACTTAACACCAAACAGCAAGAATTACAACATTGTTACCTCTTCAATAGGTTGTTTCAAAGCTTTCCTTGTAACCCGAAACCGAACTCCCAACTTCTCAAGTTGCCTAGACAAAACACGGATAATCGTAACGGAGCTTTTTAAATCCTCTTCCAAATTCTCAATCCTACCGACCAAATTCACTCCTTTTCCACCGGCCTTGTCCGTTTCGACACAAATCCTCCGCCACTGACGCTTCCTAATCCACGCCCCAATTGCAATCCCACACACCAATCCTAAAACTCTCCATACGATGATACTTCTCCATATCCCACCCAAAACGACACCTTTCCAATCCGAAAAGGCACAAACAATGGAAACAACAGCCGAAGAAATAATGCAAAAAAGTTCAGTGGCAGACAGAAAAGAGTCTAAATTGATAGTATTAGAATTGGGGTTTTGTCCTGGTGAGGTGGCAATTGAAAAATCTGGATTGTAGGCTTTGGGAAAGGGATTGACAGGTGTATGGCGGGAGTTGAAATGGAGAAAATTTCGGGTTTGGGATCGTAAAACACCGGAATCCGGGTTGGGGAAGCTGAGATGGAGGGAGGTGATTGGAGGGAGTGAATTAGGGTTTTTGATATAAGGGTTTAAACGAGGGGGAGGAGGGGATAAGAGGTTTTGAAACACGATTGACATTGTTCGTTCCTGCCCTGGTTTTTGTTAGGGTTTTGGATGGATTTGAATTGAAAGGAAAGACATTGTTAGGCTGGGTTTTTATGTTCGTTTGTTTTTGGTGAGGGGCGGGCTAATGATATGGCGATGAATTCAATGCTTTCGACCGCCTAGGTTCTATCTGCGCATGTTAGCTTGGCAAAGTTAAGACTAACTCAGACTGCGCCAGAATGAATTTGCTACCTCAAGTTTGAGCCGCAACTATTGGGTAAATTTCGAAATGGTCACTTTTATTCCATAAATACTTTACTTTTTGATCATTGAATTTTCATGATGTAATATACTAATAAAAGGAGTCAATTCTTAATTTGATGTCTTAATTTTTAGATAAAATATTAATTTGATATGTAAAATTCATATAGATATCAATTTGATCTATAAATTTTAGATAAAATATTAATTTGATTCTAATCTGATCAAAATTTCCGGTCATCAGTATCACTCACCACCATCACCAATCACCATTTGTCCGTCGATGACTGTAGGACCCTAAAATTGCACTAAAAATCACATTAAGGAGGAGCCCTTATGTGGCTATTTTACCAATTTTCCAACATAAGTTCATCTTCTCTTCCGTTTTGGGAAGCACCCATAACAAAATTTTTTAATTCATTTCTTTTCAGTTTTCCTCTCAATTTCCTTTGAAATTGACCAAAACGTGATTTTTTATCTTTTCCTTGTTTTCTATATGCCCTCCATTTCCTAGCATGAGAGATGATGATCTTATTTTGGTTTAGTTGTAGTTTTCAGCAACGCTAACATGTCTTGAGTGGTGACAGTTATACTTTGAAGATGAAACCTCAATGAGATGAGGGAGTCATCAATAGATTTAGTTATCAAATCTAATTAAGACCGGTAGTTAGATACTTAAATTTCATCATTTTAATTTCTAAATGTATCTTGATGTATATATAGATTCTCCATCCTCCTTCTATGGTCCCCCTCAATTCAATTCCAATTTCAAACATAACCTTGAAGGTAAAATTCTTGTTGAAAAACTAAATTGATAGGGGATGGTAGATGAGTGATGAATGATGAATGTTGCTCATTGTTAAAAAATCAAATCTAAAGTTCTAGACTCGATCAAAGAAGGAGGGAGAAGAAAGAAGTGGTGTGCGGTGGAAATTAGGGTTTTTAGAAGGGAAAGTTGCTAGAAAAATAAGAACAATGAATTAAGAATAAGATAAAAAAATGTCAAGACAATGAATATCAAGATAAAGATAAATTATGATAAAGAAAATAAACAAAGATAAAGAATTGATTAAGATAGGGAAACTTAACCAAAATTAGGGTTTTGGTGATGATGGACGAGAATGGTGATTTGATGATAACAAAGACTACGATGATGATGGTGATTGATATATAGTTGTCCTACGGACATTCTTAATCACAATTGACTAGGCAAACTTGATAATCAGCTCTATCTAGCCCAACTAATTGCAATGAGAAGGAAAATTGGAGTGTGAAGATATCTTTCACGAAGAACTTGAAGAACTTAATGATGAAGAATGCTCCAAAGGCATAAGGCAATCAACACTTGTAAAAATGAACTCTCGTTGTATTATTAGTCAAACAAATATGTGTTACAATGGTGAATTGAGCCTCCTTTATATAGGGTGAGGAGTTCCATGAATCTAAATAACTACTGAATAAAATAATAATAAATTAAAGATAATGTTTTGATTATATCATAATTCCTAATAAAATAATAATAAACTAAAAAACATTTTTAAATATATATTAATTCCTAATAAAATAATAAATCAAATCCTAAAACATAATTCATCTTCCTATATTAAATTATATTACAAATAGTCAATAAAATATTGAAAATTTGTAAAATTTATAAAATCATATATTAATCTCGTATAGGAATTTATGCATGTGTTATATTCACTAAAATGAACATATCTTGAGTTCTTGTTATTAGATTGATGTGATTCAATAACTATTAGAAAGCTAAGAGAAAAAAGATTGTATCTCTAGAAGACATATCAACCAAATAACACTTGGATCCCATGCAAAAAGTCATCACGAGTCTACTGATATTATGGTCCTCGTTTCCAAGGCTTGGACGTGTGGATCAACAAGAAGAGTTAATCCATATTCATTTGATGTGAAACTTGTGGTGCATGGATCATTTTCCCTCTCTTCAAAAGGATTCAACCTTGAATCTGAAACATTAGAACCTTTTAAGAATTCACTCACATTATACTTACCGAGTAGATATGCTTTAAATCTTCGAGACTTTGTTCTTCTAATAGGTTTGAGTAGAAAAATAAGTCTAAAGAAGTGTGTATTATCATTATGGACTCTAGTGCATGTATAATTCTCCATCTCCTCAAAATGAATAGTCCACGAATCTAAAAATCTAAAAGAAAGAGACTTAGATGTATTAGAAGAAAAACTTGTAAAACACTTACCCAGATCAGATTGATGTATTTATGTGCTTTAGTAGAGTTTTTTTTCCTTGTTGGAACTGATTTCTTGTTGTCTTGAAATCCTCTTTTACACACAAGTTTTGTAATCTAATGTTTTGATTGAAACTCAACATGAAATCGACCATTGTTGGCTCTGTTTGTGATTTATTCATATGTTCTCTTCATGGTTTTACTCGTGTGAGGCCAGAAGGAATGTTTAAAAACCATGTGAAGCAATTCATTAAAATAATCCATGAAGTCTCTTAAGTGTGATTCAGGAACAACTTAAACAATTTTTGGATAGTCTAGATGACATTTTCAAGTTCTTTAACCCGAATAAAAGAGAAAAAATAGGTTAGAATATCATTAAAATGAGTAACACCATACTTACCTTTAGATTCTTGTAAATCATGATTCATCATTGAGATGATACAATGATTATGATTTTTTGGTGGTAATCCGTCAAGTGGATGACCTAACACCATTTGACAACTCTGTAAAAGTGAACAAACATACTAGGCAAACTAGTGTTGTTGTCAAAAATTGAAACTAGTGGTTGTTTAAAGCGGACAAGAATGCATGGCTCTTTGTAAAGGATGTTCTCTCTCAATTCTTTTATGCTCACATATGCATTTCGAATCAGTATTTTCTTCTCACAATTAGGTTCACTCACCACCCATGGGTCATGATTTTGGCTTTTCTGACTAGTGACATCTTTTTTTCTTTTTCTTTTTTTGCCTTTTTTCATCTTTTTTCCCCACCCTTCTCACAAAGTGTCATCACTTGACTTTCAAGTGCATCTTTTGTTTCCAATAGTATAAGGGATTGACAAATGTTTTGTTGAACATTGATAATGCCTTTAGCATAGCATTTGTCATTTTTAGTGTCACTTCATTATTCGTGGTAGAAGGTGGAGCAGACGAAGAAGTGGAAGGATTTGAAGTACCTTGATAATTGTCTCTGAACTGAAACTTCCTTTGAAGCTTCTCTTTGATTGTGATTGCTTTCTTTAATGTGTGACATACATCATTTTATTGTCAAAAAAATTGCTAAAATTCAATAAAACAAATATAAATAGTGAGAAAAATGGTCAATCCACAAGGTCTAAGGAAGTTGCATATGAAAAAAAAATTGATCTTGATCTGGGCGAAAATTAAAGAAAATAAATGGGGGAGATTGTTTTGGGAAATTATAAAGAAAGTAAAGATTTATTCTAAAGAAAATAGGTGAAATAAAATCTATGTCGTAAAAATAATCTCAGGCTTTCACTTTGCCTCAAATTTCGTCAATCATTGAATAAGATTTTTCACTTCAGATTCATGCCAGTTACAGTCTACAAGGTCCAACCTTTGTAACTTGTTTTTCTCTCTAGCAAACTGAAAATCAAAAATCAATCTTTGAATTTCAGTCCTTTTATATACTAACTACAACTATCATCCTCCTTGCCAACTCAGTTTAAAGATTTGGAAAAACCCGACTCAGACTATATTGCCTCAATGAGAATCTAATTTGATCTCAATTTCACTTAGCGTACTACCGCTAAGCGTGTTCATAGGAAGTTGAATGTGCTACAAGCTGATTCTTCCTCCCAACTTTAAATCAAAACAACAATCAAGACAACGAGCTCTTTTCGAAATGAAATCATTTTGATTTTAAAAGGATGGTCGATTGTCAATCCTTGATTCTAAAAAATTGAGAGTATAACCCATATGGTATTAGGGGCTTTTCAATTCTCACGATTAGAATTGACTCATCGCTTCAGTCTTTGGCTTATTGAAAACTTAGGTAAGAGTGATAGAAATCATACTTAGCATTTTAAAAGAAAATTTGAAAATAAAAGAAAACAAAATTAAAGAAAAAAAAACAACTTTTATAAAACCAAAGAAAGAAAAGAACAAGCTAATTCGATATATGTTTTTCAAGATTTCCTCGATGGGTATTTATAGTCTTCTAAAATCCTAAAACAACATTTGAAAATAAAAAAAGATAATTTTTGAATTTGTTCAAACTAAATAAAAAAGATAATTCCAAAAATAAAAGATAACCCTAATTTAAATTCAAAATAAAGCTTATCTAACTGTCCACCTTCCAGAATGCTAACTAGACCTTCTAGAAGTTGTTGAATGGATGCCACGTCAGACACAGTCATGCCCCAAGTCATGTCCACTAGTCTAGCCTCTACTCCAAAAAATAAAAAATTGTAGAATTTTGCCTTCTAACACTGTTTCTAGAATCCAACGTCTTGCACAGAAAATAAACGAAAATGCGTAAATCAACAACATAAACTGAAGAATCAAATAGTAATTAACAATAAAATAGTAACTAATTAAAAAACTCATCAAATTCCCCCTTACATATCCAAGCTTTTCCTCAAGCATTTCTCAATTAACATGTCAAAATCACAAGTTGCCATCTTTTTTTCACAAAATTTCCAAGATTTCCAAGTAAATCAAAAACAAAGAAAATATTGAAATCCGAGAAAAATTAAGCAAAGGCTAAACTAAAAACAAATATAAGAAAAGCATGAAATTTCAATTATCTGTTAATCTCAAAGAAGCGAGACTTAGTACCTTAGAGTGGTTCACTCATTCCGCACAAAGTGCTTCGGGTGAAAGAATCGCTTAAGCCTAGCTAATTAAAATATTACCATAAGCTTGTAACTAAATATAAT